AAAAAATTAAAATAATAAATAATGAAAATTAAAATAAATTTAAAAAACTGGCTTTTCTTGCCTCGGGCGCAAAAGGAGCTGGCTACGGCTATGCTCCCGTGGTGCTCGTGTGGCGGAATGTGTCAGACGCTGCAGATGGAAAGGGGCAGGACACCTCTCCCCATGTGCAACGTCGGCCACACGAGCACCACGGGAGGACAGGACGACGGGACCTCTAGGACGCACTGGAATGTAAGCCGGCCGACTCCCTGCATTCAGGTGCGGGAGGGGGTGTGGGGCTGTATTGAAGTCAATGGCATCGCCCACAGTGCGATCACCCGCACCGGGACGCAGGCACATTAGTGTCTGCATTCCGGTCCAGTGCCATCTGCAAAAATAGGGCTCGCAGCATTTTTGCGGATCGCACTGGACTGGAACACAGGCACTAATGCAGGCGATCGCACTGTGGGCGAGGGGTCTGGCTGCGGTGCTATTTACTTCAATGCACTGCCTTGTCCCCTCCCGCAGGTGTTTTTTCGTTGGTAGATCTCAATGAGCTCGTCATTTGAAAAGTAGATCTCCAGACGAAAAATTGTGGGCGCCCCTGCCCTAGAGCATCTCTCCCCCTCCACTGCAGCAGTCTAGGAATCCACGAGTCATCATGTGCAATACAGTGTATTGGATGTGAGGATGCCGAGGGTCATACCATACGCCTGCTTGGAGATTCGGGTGAGTATAACTTTTTTTTTTTTGACCCTAGGCAAAAACGAGCAGTTAAAGCGGACCTTTACACTCAAAAATCAGTGCAGAGTGGTAAAAGTCATGACTAGCTCCCAGTTATAATTTGCTGTTCTCGGTTATTGATGGGTGTCAGCTAAGAATTATGTTTGATTCAGCCCCCAGTCAGGTAGTTGAAAGGTGTAACCTGTCCTTAGTAGGGCATGTTTTCATGGAACCTTACCTTTGCACATAGTAGGCAGTGTCTTGGCAGTCTGATTGAGCTACCTGTGCGGATACCACAAAACATATTATGATGGCAGGACTCCCAACAGTTGTACATTCTGATTTATGTTGTTGATAGATGCACCAGTCACTGTTCTTCTCATGCGTTGTAGGTGCGCGCAGGAGAGTCTCTCATGAGGCTGGTCTCCGATCTGAAACAATACCTCATTCTGAATGATTTTCCCTCTGTGAATGAGGCCATCAATCAGAGGAACCAACAGCTGCGAACGCTCCAGGATGAATGCGACAAAAAGCTAATTTCTCTGCGGGACGAGATTGCCATCGATCTTTATGAGCTGGAAGAGGAATATTACTCGTCCAGGTATAAATAGGGGACTGGGTGCAGCACGGATGGAGAATGGCATCTTGCAGGAAGCGTGCCCTTGTCAGCCATCTTGGACTATGTAGTTTATATTGGTGGCTGGAGTGACGGCAGACACGTGTGCCTTATTGGAATGAGAGATGGCTTGTGTCAGTTGTGTCAGTGTTTGGGATATATATATATA